TGTCATCGCGGGAAATGCCCCATGGAAAGACAAGCGTTTGGGAATCAACACCATTCCTGAGATTTCAACGCCGCGAGACAACGTGACTGTTGCGTCCGTACAATCCTAAGTCGTGCCAGAACACAGCTCCTGGGACTTCAACACCGCGAATCAACGTGACTGCTGCGTCCTGACAATGCGAAATCGCATCAATCATAACACCATTCTTAGGAGCTTCAACCCTACGAAGCCTGGAACTGCTGCAACTTCTAAAGACGAATGCACGCGGCGCTAAGGCAAGAGCCAGGTTCTGCAAAGAAACCGCCATCCATCCTTGAAGCTGCTGCAATGTTTGAGACGAATGTGGGCGGCGCTCAGGCGAGAGCCACATTCTGAAAACGACCCGCCCTTCAACCTTGAAGCTGCTGCGAACTTTTGAAACGAATGTGAACAGCGCTCAGGCGAGAGCCGCAGTTTGAAAACGGCCCGCCCTCGATCCTCAAAGCTGTTGCACACGTTTAAGACGAATGTGCGCGGCGCTACGGCGAGAGCCGCATTTTTAAACGGACCGCCCTCCATCCTTGACGCAGTTGCAGATTTCACGCTTCTGGATCCTAAACCGTGGGGAAGTCTCAGGAATTGAGAAAGAGGAGAAGAAGTAAGCAGAGGAGAAAGAGGAGGAGGAGAAACAGGAGGGCCACTATGACGACGCAAGAATGAGAAGGATTAATGGCGAGAAGGTGAAGGGGAAGAGGGAAGGAATATGATGGCGGATGAATGGAGAGTAGAAGGAATGACGAGCGAATAGACGAGGACAGTGTAGACATAACGACGGTGAGGGAGTCGGGAAGACGAGGGATGATGATGATGATGATGATGCTGATGATGCTGATGATGATGATTATGATGATGAAACTGGTGACGATTATGATGATGATGATGATGATGATGATGATGATGATGATGATGATGATGATGATGATGATGATGATGATGATGATGATGATGATGATGATGATGATGATGATGATGATGATGATGATTCTTCCTCGGCAACAAGACCCAACACCACACAAAGAACAATTAGTCGTGTGTAATCGAGGGTCAGTCGCAGAGAGCATCCAATGCTTTCGTACTGCCCCGCATGGGCCCGTCACCCGCGGGTGTTGCACACGGATGCGTCCTGCGCAGCGCTAGCCATGCGACGAACGAATTTCGGCATAAGCTGACACTCGTTACATGGCCCTGCAGCGAACGTAGGTCGAGGCCATGTCCGCATCGACACTAGCAGCGTGCGTGCTCGGGCTCGGGCGTGGCTGAAAATAAGTATCCTGGCGAAATACCCAACCAAAAGCAATTGTTCGTAACGCGTTGTGGGTGCCGCTTTCGGTGGGGCTGCCTATGGGGCCACGAAGCGCTGCCCTGGGTGGGGGAACCGCATGCGAACTGCGCCACTGGGGCCTTCGGTGGAGCTCCCTATGGGGCCACGAAACGCTGCCCTGGGCGGGGCAACCGCATGCGAGAGCAGCCACTGGGGCCTTCGGTGGAGCTCCCTATGGGGCCACGAAGCGCTGCCCTGGGTGGGGGAACCGCCTGCGAGAGCCCACTGGGGCCTTCGGTGGAGCTCCCTACGGGGCCACGAAACGCTGTCCTGGGGGGGGGGGGGGGCATGCGAGAGCCCACTGGGGCCTTCGGTGGAGCCTGGGGCCACGAAACGCTGCCCTGGGTGGGGGGGCGAGAGCAGCCAGCATGCGCAGCCACTGGGGCCTTCGGTGGAGCTCCCTGTGGGGCCACGAAGCGCTGCCCTGGGTGGGGGAACCGCATGCGAGCTGCGCCACTGGGGCCTTCGGTGGAGCTCCCTATGGGGCCGCGAAACGCTGCCCTGGGCGGGGCAACGCGTGCGAGAGCAGCCACTGAGGCCTTCGGTGGAGCTCCCTATGGGGCCACGAAGCGCTGCCCTGGGTGGGGGAACCGCATGCGAGAGCAGCCACTGGGGCCTTCGGTGGGGCTCCCTACGGGGTCACGAAACGCTGCCCTGGGTGGGGGAACCGCATGCGAGAGCAGCCACTGGGGCTCTCGGTGGAGCTCCCTTTGGGGCCACGAAGCGCTGCCCTGGGTGGGGGGACCGCATGCGAGAGCAGCCACCGTGGCCTTCGGTGGAGCTCCCTGTGGGGCCACGAAGCGCTGCCCTGGGTGGGGGGACCGCATGCGAGAGCAGCCACTGGAGCCTTCGGTGGAGCCCCCTATGTGGCCACGAAACGCTGCCCTGGGTGGGGGAACCGCATGCGAGAGCAGCCACTGGGGCCTTCGGTGGGGCTCCCTATGGGGCTACGAAACGTGTGAGAGGTGTGCCGAGAGCAGTGGCAAGGAGGGGGAGGAGGGAGGAGGGGGAGGAGGAAGGAGGAAGGTGGGACGCGGGGCGCTGTCTCTTCAAAACGAGGACCCAACACCACAGGATGGTTGGGGAAAAGACCGAGACAGAGTGAAAGGCGCTAGCAATGCGTGTGCGTGGTCAGTGGAGCCCACGGTAAGCGTCGAGGTCACTGCTGTAATCGATAGCCAAATCGTTGACAGTCATCAGCGCGCCGTCCTGTTTCCAGAAGGGGTGAGAAACGGTGGCGTCGAACACGCGCTCGATGGTCGAGCATACGATCTCCTCGCTGGTGCCCGTGAGGCGGGTCATCTTGGTGTCGATGGCCTGGTTGATATATAGCGTCGCGGATGTCGACGGGGATGACCTTATCGATGGAGTCGGTCATGGAAGGGTCCTCCGTGCCAGCGTAGCAGGTGTCGATAGCCACGTGCTCCTTCGGGTGGCTGATCTCGTCACTTGTGGTTGAGGTATGGTGGCATTGCGTACCCAGCTTGAGGTGACTGCACAATTCTCTCCGAGACTGCTTGTCGTCGACGCTCGTCTCGGCCATCTCGGCGTAGTTGGAGTCGGTCATGGAGGGATCATCCGTACCAGCGTAGCAGGTGTCAACAATCTCGCGCTTCTTCAGCTCGTCGCCGTTAGTGTCGGCCATCTCGGCGTACATGTCCATCGGCTGGTTCGCGTTGAGCTCTGCCCCATAGCGCAGTTCCTCCTCAACTGTGTGGGAGAAATCGCACGTGAACTGCTTGCTCTCGTTCAAGCTCTCCTCGGGGATGAGGTCGTGCATGCGCGTGGGCTCGGGCACCTCGTCGGTGACGACGGCGGTGTGAGGTAGGTCATCTGCATGTCGTAGAACTGGTCGGTCCTCTGCTCGTAGTTCAAGTCCTGGCGGAAGGCCAGTGGCAGCACCCATCCTGAAGTGGCGCCATCGAAGCCGATCGCGGTGCGCCTGAGCTCGTGAGCGCCGCCCACCTGCGGGGGCGCCACAACGTGCTTGATCCGCCGAGGTCATGTGGTGCCAGGCCCTCTGACTGTGCTCGGCTGGTGCGCGGCGCCAGCGCGCTGGAACACCACACGGCGACATGGCGGTGTGCGGGGTATCTTCGGGCCTTCCGCCTCTGGGGCTAGGCGAGGAGGGCGCTGCAGAAAGGCAGCTGCTCCTTAAGAAGGCCTGAGCGCGCGGCGGCCTTATGATGATGATGAGGATGATGATGATGATGATGATGATGATGATGATGTTGGTAATGATGATGATGATGATGATGATGATGATGATGATGATGATGATGATGATGATGATGATGATGATGATGATGATGATTATGATGATGAAAATGGTGACGATGATGATGATGATGATGATGATGATGCTGATGCTGAGATGCTGATGCTGATGCTGATGCTGATGCTGATGATGGTGATGGTGATGGTGATGGTGATGATGATGATGATGATAATGATGATGGTGGCGACGATGATGATGCTGATGGTGATGATGCTGATGATGATGCTGATGATGATGATGATGACGATGATGATGACGATGATGATGATGATGCTGATGCTGCTGATGATGATGCTGATGATGATGATGGTGATGGTGATGGTGATGATGATGATGATGATAATGATGATGATGGTGGCGACGATGATGATGCTGATGGTGATGATGCTGATGATGATGATGCTGATGCTGATGATGATGCTGATGACGATGATTATGACGATGATGATGCTGATGCTGATGCTGATGATGATGCTGATGATGATGATGATGGTGGTGGTGGCAATGATGATGATGATTTGTTGATGATGATGCTGATGATGCTGATGCTGATGACGGTGATGGTGATGGTGATGATGACGATGCTGATGATGATGATGATGATGATGATGTGATGATGATGATGATGGTGAATGATGATGATGATGCTGATGCTGATGATGATGACGATGATGATGATGATGATGATGATGATGATGATGATGATGCTGATTATGATGCTGATGATGATGGTGGTGGTGGCGATGATGATGTTGTTGATGATGATGATGCTGATGATACTGATGATGATGCTGATGGTGGTGGTGATGCTGATGCTGGTGATGATGATGACGATGATGATGATGATGATGATGATGATGATGATGATGATGATGATGGTGGTGGTGATGATGATGATGATGATGATGATGATGATGATGATGATGACGACGACGAGGAGGAGGAGGAGGATGACGATGAGGATGATGATGAAGGAGGAGGAGGAGGCATGAGGAGGGACGACGAGGGGTGTTGAGAAGAACGAGGAGGGTCATGTGTAGGCGTACGGGGGGGGGTGCATGGGCGTGAGGGATCGGGAAAATAATAATGGCCATCAGAAGGAGAAGGATGATGCGGCAGAGCAATAGGATCGGGATGAGAAAGAGGTGCAGGAGGAAGAAAGGAGGAGGAGGAAGAGGTGGAGCCAGGGAATGACAATGGAAATGCAGGAGGAGCAGGAGGGTGAGTAAGAAGCAGGCGGAGTGGTAGTAGCTGGAGGAGTGGCTGTACCAGGAGGGGGGAGGGAGTAATCGCCACGGAGGTGGAGAGGAGGAGGATGGGGGCCTGATTTGGACTAGATTCCCGACCGACTGGAGGAGAATGCTGATCGCTCCCTTGGTCGCCAAGCCGACGTTCCCGTTTCCAATTGGCCAGACCTTGGGGGTCCGTAGCCACTTTGGCTCAAGCACTCCCTCGCGAGGCCGAGGCATCCTCTACTTCTGGTGCAGCGCGCGGCGTGCCGAGCGCCTGCCAGAGCCCCAGACGGCATGTCCTGCCTCGAGGGCCCCATGACGGGGGGGAAGAAGAGACAGTGCCTGATCTACGACGACATCACCAGGACCGGTGGGCTGCACGCCGGTCGTGAAGATCAACAAGTTGGCGCCCGAGGGCGTGGAGATATATGCGAAGCTGGAGTACTTCAACCCGCTCGGCTCGGTGAAGGATCGCCTAGCCAACGGCATCATCGAAGACGGCGAGGACAAGGGTCTGCTGAAACCAGGCGAGTCGACCGTGATTGAGGCGACCAGCGGCAACACTGGCATCGCTCTCGCAATGGTGTGTGCACAGCGCAGGTACAAATTTCTGGCCGTCATGGCCGCCTCTTTCTCCGTCGAGCGCCGCAAGGTCATGCGCGCCCTCGGCGCGAAGGTGATTGCCACGCCTGCGGCACTCGGAGGTACGGGCATGGTGAAGAAAGCAGAGGAGTTGGCCGAGAAGCACGGCTGGTACCTCGCCAGGCAGTTCGAGACGGACGCGAACGCGGCCTACCACGAGAAGACGACGGGGCCCGAGATCCTGGAAGCTTTCCAGGGCAAGAAGCTCGACTACTGGGTCACGGGCTATGGCACCGGCGGCACCTTCACGGGGGCCGGAAGGGCTCTGAAGAAGGCTCTCCCGAACATCAAGGTCGTCCTGTCGGAGCCCGACATGGCCCCGCTGGTCACGAGCGGCGTGGAGCAGGACCGAAAGGAGGTCATGGGGCTGTTCGGCGCCCCCGCGGGAGCGCACCCCGCCTGGAAGCCGCACCCGATCCAGGGCTGGACGCCGAACTTCATCCCGAAGGTCTACGACGCAGGCCTGAAGGCGAAGACTCACGACTCCATCGAGCTCGTCTCCGGCTAGGAAGGCATCGACACTGCGCTGAAGCTCATGAGGGAGGAGGGCATCTTCTGCGGCACCAGCGGCGGAGCCACGATGGCCGCTGCGCTGAAGGTCTGCGCAAAGGCCCCCAAGGGCTCCGTCGTCCTGTGCATGATCCCGAACATCGCAGAGCGCTACCTCTCGACGCCTCTCTTTGCGGAGGCCGAGGAGAAGATGACCGCGGAGGAGATCGAGCTCGGGAAGAGCACCGAGACGAAGTCTGAATTCTGATCGCGGCCGACAACAGCTGAGTACGCCGCGGCTGCTCCCGCCAGTCCAATTCCGAATTCCCCTGCCTTTGCCCGCTCCTCCGTCCCCCCACCGAGGGGGGGGGAGGGAGTACATTGGGGGTGCAAAGGCGATCGGGTGCCGACCTGGAGCGAACACCGCCAATGCTACCAGCCGAAGCGCTGGCAGCTCGTGCCCCTTCGGAGTTCGGCGCGAGCTTCCCTCGGATTGTCAGCGCGCTCTGCGCACACCTACAGCGGATCGCAGTGGTTTATTTCAAGCGTGTCGTAATTTTATACTGCACGATCTGTATGAGGTTTTGGCCCGCTTGATCGCCGAGGGGCAAAACAAATGGCCAGACCTTGGGGGCAGTGCAGTAAAGGGTCGATTAACATAGCCCTCTCAAGCCATTTTCCCGCCGACCCCAGCATTGATTCCAGGGGTCCCCGGGCCGGGGTTGGGGGGGAAGGGCATTGTGCACCGCAAGGTTCGTCGGTAGCGTTTCCATGCATGGCCCCAGCCCCCCCTCCCCTTTCGATCACAAGGCGGTGACCTCCCGATCAGAGCCTGCATCCTGGCCAGCGTCGCTGAGGCAGCACAGAGTGGTAATGGTGTTCGGTTCTTTTCCTCCCCTTCACGGCCTGCCCCCTAGAGGGCAGCGGTGGAGAGTATGAGGGAAAGGGGGAGGAGGAGAACAAGAGGATCGGGAGGAGGGCCAAGAGGATCAGGAGCAGGATCACGAGGAGGAGGTGGCGCAGGATGAGGAGGAGGAGGAGGAGGAGGAGGAGGAATTGCATGACGGAGGTAACACATAGAACGAGCAAGAAAGTCAGACACAGAAACAGAAAGAGGACGGGGGAGCAGGAGCTGGGGTGGTCCGCCGAGGTAATGTCCAGCCTGTGCGGTGACCTGTACAAAGTCTGCACCAGCAGCGGTCGTGCGCTCTCCGAGGAGGGTCGCGCCGAGCTTTCCCGGAGGAGGGGATGAGGAGGAACATCTTTTCGAGGTGGAATTTGGAGGAATGCGGTCGGGGTTTTGTGCATGGCGTTTCGTGGCGGCGGCCTTGGCGACACGTTATGCTTTGCGAGCGGATTGCGTGTCGCTCTGCGAGGCGGGAGGCTGGGAAACACTCGAGACATTGACGCTTGGGGCCTTGGACGCGGATAGCATGTCGCGCCGAATAGCGGTCGGCCAGAACTGGCGTCGCGATACGCTAAGCCAAAGTTCTTGACAGTACATGCTCTTTCCTCCCTCCTCCCTTCCCCCCTCCCTTCCTGTCGTTTTTGTGTTGGGGTGTGTGCCCTGCTGCTAGTTCCCAGGCAGGCTGTCGCCCAAGACCTGGCTGCTGAGGAAAATCGTCCCGATGGGCACACCTCCCTTCGGCGGCGGGCATGAGACCTCCGGCCTACAGGCCTGACCCTGGTGGGCGCTAGGGCTAGGGCTTAGGGCGGGTCTGGCGCTGGGGCCGCGGATTCACAGCAGGAGGCTGGTCAGACCATTCGGAGGTTGGGCTCGATGGTGCTGGTGATGATGGTGGTGATGCGGGGGGGGGGGACGAGAAGTGGGGGCGTATGGCAGACGAAGAGGAGGAGGAGGAGGAGGAGGAGGAGGAGGAGGAGGAGGAGGAGCATCAGGAACAGGGTAAACCCAAGAGGCATCAACGATGTTGGAATAAACCCTCCCTCCAGGCTCCCTCTTCATAGGCCCCTACAACGGTTCATTTCCACTGAGGGAACTGCCTCGTTGGAAGACAACCGTTTGAAGACCCTGAAGCATACCAAAACGCTGTTCTCTGGATTTCAACGCCACAGATCAACTTGACTGTTGCGTCGTGGCGATCCTGAACCGTGCAGGAAACCCATTCCTGGAACTTCAACACCGCGAACCAACGTAACTGTTGCACCTCATAATCCTGAATCCTTCGGTAATGCCATTTCAGGTACGCTGATCATGGGAATTCGTGAAACTCTTGCAATTGTTAAAAACGAATCTGCGCGGCGCTGAGGCGACAGCCACATTTTGAAAACCGCCCGCCCTCAATCCGTGAAACTCTTGTAAATGTGTAAAGCGAATGCGCGCGGCGCTAAGGCGAGAACCATATTTTGAAAACGGGCCGCCCTCATTCCGTGAATCTCTTGCAACATTTAAGACGAATGTGCGCGGCGCTTAGGCGAGAGCCACATTTTGAAAAAGAACCGCCTTCAATCCGTGAAACTCTTGCATCCTTAAAAAGAAAAAACGACTGCGCGCGGCGCTAAGGCGAGAGCCACATTTTGAAAACGGGCCGCCCTCAATATGTGAAACTGTGGCCAATGTTGTTTAAGCGTCAGAGTCGTAAGTGGTGACGGCCCGCCCTAAAAACTGGCCTCTGGGTGCGACAGGGAGAAGCTGCTCATAAGGAAAAGGAATGAAGGAGGAGGAGGAGGAGCAGGAGGAGGAAAAGAAGGAGGGGGAAGGTAGAATGGGGGATCTGGGAGTTGGATGAAGAGGAGGTGGTACGTGAGGATGAGGAGGGAGAGGATGATGATGAGGAGGAGGAGGAGGAAGAGGAGGAGGAAGAGGAGGAAGAGGAGGAGGAGAAGGGGGAGGAATACCAGAGTAAACCCGATATGCATCAATGATGTCGCAATGCGCACACCCCTTTCCAGGTACCCTCAAAGTCCCTATAGGAATTCCTCGTCACTGCGGGAAGTGTCCCCTTGAAAGACGAGCGCTCAATGATGCGAAACCCCAATGTTGAAGAGGACCTGCCATACATGGTTCTAGGAAGAACGACTGCGACGGGGTAGGAACATAACCTTGAAAATGAGCCGCTCAGGGAAGTCTCAATCGAGCGCCCCGATGTGGAACAGGAACCGCCCTGCACCCGTGTAGCCGCTACACAGTTTTAGGCGTCTAGTCAGACTTGTCACATTGTCAAAAATGTTAACAGCATGTCGAACGAATGTCCCATGGTAGTAATATCAGACGAAGGTCACATGGTAGCACAACCGTCATCCAACAAGTTTAAGACGAATGAGCACGGCGTTGAGGCGAACAACCCAATTTGAAACAGAACTGCTCTCCACCAGTGTAATTGTTGGACGCATTTCAGACGAATGTGCGCGGCGCTGATGCGAACGCCACATGTATCCTTCATACGTGTAAGAGTTGGAAGCTTACAAAACGAATGTGCGCGGCGCTGAGGCGAGAGCAACATGTTTGAAATGAGCCGCTCTGCATTCTTCTAGTTGTGGGAAACTTGTAATTCGAATTTGCGCAGCGCTGTGGCGAGAGAGCTACATTGTGTAAACGACCACTTTCGTTCGCGTAACCGTTGGGAGATGTTCAGGCGAACGTGCGCGGCGCTATGGCGAGAGCCACATTTCGAACACCTCGCTTCCATCTGTTTGACTGCTGAAAGCGCTCAAGAGGAACGTGAGCTGTGCTTTGCCGAGGTAGCTACACTTTGTAAACGGCCCTCTCGATGTGTGTGTAACCGTTGGAAGCTTTTAGGACGACCGGGCGCCGCGCGAGTCACACTTTGAACACCTCCCGTCCATCTGTGCAAATGTTGGAAACTTTACGTCGAACGCGCGCGGCGCTAAGGCGAGAGCCACATTTTGAAAACGGGCCGCCTTCAGCCCGTAGCTCTTGGAACATTTTGGAACGATGTGCGCGGCGCTGAGGCGAGGGCCACATTTCGAAAACGGTGCCCCCTCCATCCGTGTAACGGTAGGAAGTTCTTAAGAAGAATTTGTGCGGCGCTGAAGTGAGAGATTTTTCTTTAATCGCTTCGTTCTCGCTGGCCCGTTTCGCATCACTGTGGCTGCATGGTGGTGTGCTCGTGTCCAGGGGGATCGGTAGGGCAGGCAGGAGTGTCCTTGAGGAGATCTTTGGGGATGTGGCTCCCGCCCTGTCGAAGAGGGCCGGTAGGCTGGCCCCGAGGGCGCCGAGATGGTTCGAGAGAGCTCCAGCAGAGGTTGGAGGCGTACCTGGGTTGTGGGTCAGAGTCCTCACGGATGCTTCCTGGGCTCTCGGGAGCCTCTGGGACGCAGTTTGAGGCTTCTGGGGGGCCTCTTGGGGGCTTCTTGGGGGCTTGATGCGGCTTCCTGGGGTCCTGTTGGGGGGCGCAGTTTTTGCGGCCTCTTAGGGGGCCTCTTGGGGCCTCTTGGGGGTCTCTTTGGAGCCTCTGGGGGCTTCCTGGGCGCCTCCTGGGGCCGAGAGCTCGAAACGTCTGTTCGGGTTCCCCCTCTAGGGCCGTCTTAGAGCCATCTTGGGCAATTCTGGGGCCCTCTTGGAGGCTTACTGGATTGTGATCGAGCGATCTTGGGGCCTCTTGGGCCGTCCAGGGCGGTCGGCAGCTCGAAAAGGCGGTACCGCCAAAATCGTTTAAACACCCACGCATAATTAATTATCCGTAAGGGCTTCGCCCCATGCCGCCGGCCCCCTGTCTCGGATAATGGGAAATGCAAAAGCTAAATCATGAGGTCTGGGCGCCGCCGTGAAGCAGTGTCGGGACCTGTTTGTTTTTCGACCCTGACCCTACGGACCTGTGTCACGGGCGCCACCGAATTTTAGAAATGTGGCAAATCCTCGTTGTTTTTGGACCTTGACCCTACGGAGCTGCGTGAGGGGTGCCGCCGAATTTCAGAAATGTGGCAAATCCCTTGTGATTTTGGACCCTGAGCCTGCCGATCTGCGTGAGGGCTGCCGCCGAATTTTAGAAATGTGGCAAAACCCTTATGTTTTTTGACCCTGACCCTGCCGATCTGCATGAGGGGTGTCACCGAAATTCAGAAATGTTGCATATCCGATGTGTTTTTGGACCCTGACCCCGCCGATCTGCATGAGGGATGCCACCGAATTTGAGAAATGTGGCAAATCCCTTGTGTTTTTGGACCCTGACCCCGCCGATCTGCGTGAGGGGTGCCACCGAACGTCAGAAATGTTGCATATCCGATGTGTTTTTGAACCCTGACCCCGCCGATCTGCGTGAGGGGTGCCAGCAAATTTCAGAAATGTGGCAAATCCCTTGTGTTTTTGGACCCTGACTTCGCCGATCTGCGTGAGGGGTGCCACCGAATGTCAGAAATGTGGTAAATCCGTTGTGTTTTTGGACCCTGACCCCGCCGATCTGCGTGAGGGGTGTCAATTTTTACCCACCCCAGCAATTCAGACAACACGCTCAGGGCGTGGTAGAAATATCCGTTTTGGGCCTCCCCCCCTCGCACGGTCCATCAACAAGGAACAGTAAGCAGCAAGAAGTCAACAAGGAATAGTAAGAAGCAAGAAGCAGAATTGTAGCAGTGGAAACTGGAAGCTGCAACTGGCACAGCAACTGCGAACCTTCCTCCTACAGCCTGG